TTACAGAATACCTACATTGTGCATGCAGCGTGTGTCCTTAAAGAGCCGTTAAAATTGATTTCGCATCGCGGTTAAGCTGTCACTTTGTTTTCTTCTTGATTAAAGCTGTTTGGTCCTGTACTGCTTCCTGGGGGGGCAGCGCGTAAAGCATCAGCTCTAGAGGCAGCGTGGGACATGGACACTGCTGGTTGGTGATGCGTTGATCCTGGGCTCTCAGCACTGGACTTCTTGCTCAGGTGGCCAACCTGCCTTGCATTTCTATCCAGGTGCTCCCTGGTGCATTTGCAAATCACCTTTTGCTTCTGCCCGCAGTGTCAAGTGTGTAACTCCCATCTTTATTGCCGTCGAGAAAACCGTGTCCTAGGGGGTTCTCAACTCCCCACTGAAGTTTTGGCCTCACAGAGTTCTGCTTTCAGAAGCAGACAATGTTCACAGAAGGTTTTGAGAGCAATTTTGGGGGTACTGTTCAATTCCAGATGCTGTCTCTTCTCCCCTCAAAGTTGATGACAGCTCTTCTTGCTGCTGTCGTAGGGCAAAATTTGGACTTTTAAGGAGCTGATGCTAACATGACTGAGTGATGTTTTTTCTGCTTAAAATACTGTTTCTTCAGTCTAAATTTCTCTCCTCTCCATTCTTTTGTCACTAGGAAGCAATTAAACTAAAATAGGGCTTTGTTTCTCAGGAATTTGACACCTCTGCCTGTTCCTACATCCAGCTTTCAACCTTTGTTCAAGGTACAATAATTGGTGTGAATAGGAAACAGCCCAAAGGAATAGGAGGTTAAATTTCATCATTTCGTCTGTGTTTTGGAAAATCCTGAGCGCTCAGGATGGGAAACACCTCTAAAATTCTGCTTATTCATTTCTCATTAAATTTCCACATCCATATTATGGGTGTTTTGCTGATACATCAGAATTGCTATGGCTAGTTTCACAACTCCATCAGATACTTTTTATCATACAGTTCATTACGTTTAATGGAGTTCTGTGGGAAGGCAGGAGATGTAAACTCCAGTAGGCTGCTCAATATCTAAATTAGGTGTGACCGTGTAGTTTCCCTGTCTGTTGATACTTCAAGGTTCCCTGTAAGACAGTTCTCATTTTTTGTCTGAGTAAAGCCTAAACAGTTTTTTTCTTTTTTAACAACTGTTAATTATCTGTAATCAAAGGAGTAAACTGGATGGACTAAATTCTACCACAAGATTGATTTTATCCTCTACCAAGAAATCTCCTGCTCTTTACCCATTTCCCAAACATGCGTGTGTTGCTGATTCATAGGTGACAATATTGGTTGTTAAATTACTGACTATTTTCAGGAGTTTTTGACTTTAATTGGTGTAGGTGGTCCAGAAATTCCTTCTCATCAGTCAGATACTCGGTAACTTTACAGACCTCCTTTACTGTGTGTGCAAAGAAAAAAAAAAAAAAAAAAAAAAGCTTCACTCTGAGTTCAGTAGCTTCTCTCCCGTTCTTTGGACTGATCTGGTGCACACATGCTCTTGAAGTAGGTTTGAGTCTTTTTTGAGTCTTTTTGGAGCGGCTGTGCCAGCAGGAGCCCTTCCTTCCTCAACGCTCCATGAGAAGAGCTGCCGATGAGCGTGGTTCTGGGCAGGTCCCTCAAGCATCAGGAAGCAGGAGCACATTTGTTGAGATTCAGACTTCAGCAGATTCCACAGCAGAAGTATCTCAAGGGACATATAAAATGAATGCAACAAATACCGTAATTAGTGGTGTTGCTTCGGGCTCTCTGCAAACTCAGACAGCTCTTCCAATTCGTTGGTTTGTGAATTCACTGCCGCGGTGTCAATGGGCTGGGTTTGCCCGACCTGTGTTGTATCATCAGGGCCCTGGAGATCACCATCTCGGGGTGTCTCTTGCTTGTGTATAAGCACTTGGCCGCATCTGTCTCTTCCCACCAGGCGCATTTCTTCTTTGCCAGCAAACTTCTTGGGGGAAGGCGTGATTGTGGGAGCTATCCCGCCTGGGATCTCTGGTGCTTTGATAACATGAGTGTTAATTAATCCTGCAAACACCATCATTAGCTTTTTGTCTGGCTGTTCCAATCTGTCCCTAGCAGTAAGCAGAGCGACTGCTCAGTGCTCCCCAGTTTCTTCTCCCAACCTTTCCTTTCTTTCCCCAAGGGTCAGGTAGGTTTATGACTGGCCTGAGTGGCATTTCTTCAGACAGGAATTTATGGACCACACACCTTGAGTCTTCTTTTTTTTTCTTTCTTTTTTTTTCTTTTTCTTTATTTTTCTTTCTTTCTTTTTTTTTTTTTTCTTCTCTCCCCTATGATCCTCCCAGTACCTCAGTGCAGCCCTGAAGGGCTCCGTGTGTTCCGAGGAGGCCAGGCACAGATGGCCTCCTCCTCGGGGCCAATCTCCTGGGGCCCGTTGGGTGATGTTCCTGTCCATCTGCTCCATCGCACACAGCTAAACTGTGGGGTTTCCCATTGGTGAGGACGATGTAGCCCTTTGTCCTTCTCTATATAACGCTTCTTGGGGACCACCAGAAAATAAAAACCCACCTAAGGCAGACATCTCCCAACCCAGCATGGGACCTGGCCCTCATGTTCTGCCTTGAGGTCTTCCCATGTTGAGCCCACCACCGTAGTGCCAACACCAGTGTGGAGCTCAGCTGTCTGCACAATGGCATAATGAGGAATATCCTCTCTAAAACACTGTGCAGTTTTGATTTTACTCCTTCAGATCTTTTGGGTGCATCGTGCAAGTTTTGTTGCTTGCCAACTGCGTTACTACGAGTGCCGCCTGATCAGCATTTCTGCTGCCTCCTGGGGGCCTCCCTTTGGTTGTGGGATGCACCTTTTGATATTCCCTGATTATCTTATGGAAATGAGTCCTCCTGAAATGGACTGCTACTTTCTCTTGCCATGTTTCCCAGCTGTCTTCCTGGCCGATTTTTATATCCCATTGCCCCTGGGGCTCTTCAAAGGCTTCTTTGGAGTCTGAAATCCCTGCGTGTCCCTGAGCCGAGAAAGCCAGAAGACCGTACCTGGTGGGTCATTATGATTTACTCTGAATTTTGACGCCTGGTGTGTTTTCTCTCATGCTGGCCTTGTGTGTAACACAAGCCGGAGTGCTCTGGGCCAGCACTGTGTTTTTCTTTTCTTTTCCTTTTTCCTTTGTTTGTGTTATGCTTGATTTGATATTCAGACCTCACTCAGTGCTCTTTGGCTGCTCCTTCTGAATAAGAAAAATTGTTTCAAGAAGATTGTGGCTCTGGGTTTTTCAGGTGAATATATTGCTTTCCTCATTTTAAAAGTGTGATTTGAACTTTATCAAACAGAAATCTCCTTTATTTATTTGTAAATGTTAGTAAAGGAAAGGCCTGGTAGTCATGTGAATAATCCAGCTGGCCTTAAAATTATTTGCTTGATAAAGATAAGTGTTGTTGCTTTTGAATGTGCAGTGTTTTTATATCAATAAATTAATTTTTTTAGAATAATAAATTAAAAGTGAGATGTCTAGTGTATGGTGTCTTCTAGCTGTCAGAAGTAGCTCAGCTGAAAATCGTATTTTTCACTTTAAGGATACTTTAGTTGTTTCTGGGTGTGGATTGTCCCTGGTAAAACTCAATTTAACCCCATAGGTTCCCACCCATGTCTGCTGGCATCATTTTATCCATGATTCTGACGTTCCTTCACAGCCTCTGCTTGGTTTTTAAAGGTGGATTTGTGGAAGAAATATTGTTATTCGGTTTCCAAGATAGCTCAGTTATTGTTGGACAGAACGAGATCCTAGGTCTCCCAGTCTGGAAAACCTTCAATTATCAGTGACGTTCACTTTTTTTTTTTTTTTTTTTTTTTTTTTTTTCTTTTAGCCTAGACATAATGTTTTACTTAAATGGGCTTCATTTGCTTGGTTGGTTGATTGGTTGGTTGATTTTTGGTTTGTCTCAGCACACTGACTTGCTTTGCAGAGTGATAAAAGGATAAAAGTAAGGCAAAGTTAAGCAAGCTTTGGGACTCTTGCTTGGATCCACATGCATCAGTGTGCTGGGTTGGAGATGAGAAGGATGTGACGGAGATGTGGCTGGGAGAAGAGGTGGAAGGGCTGGTGTTATTGCAGGGGTTTGGTTGTTGCTTGTGGTCTGTTGGCTTGTGAAAGCCCTGGCAATAGCATGGTATGTGCCTGGAAGTAATGAAGCAGCAGGGCAGCTGACTTGCCTTGTCCTTCCTCTTGTGGGTTTATGTCAAGAATGTTTTGAATAACCAGCAACTTAGGAGCCAAGCTTTCTTGTGCATTCATTTCCTGGGTTTTCTTAATGGTCTCAGGAGGAGGAAGAACTTGGTGAGCAGGACATGAGGTGAACGTGATAAGGTCAGCTACAGACAGAGAATATTTCATGTCAGACACTACACAAACTTCTATATGTAACTCACAGGGCACTGTCCCCCTTTGTTACAGAACTAAATAGTTACAGGAAAAGTGTCTCTGTGCAGTGCAGATGCCACATCCCGTGGAGCTGTGCTCACCTGGTGTGCAAGCTGACGTGGGTGCGCCCTGCTTCCTCGCTCCCTCTGCCTGGCTCCATTCAATCAGTGTTCAACCCAAAGCAGTGGCTTTCACCCAGATATGCATTACTCAGGCTGTTGCACATGCTGCATCTATTCCCAAGCCAAAGGGGAAAAAACAAACAAAAGAAAACACAAAACCAGAAGAGAAGAGGGCAGCCTCCTCCCCAAGCCTGACTCGCCCTACCTGTTCCAGGCAGGGAATCCAGCCCTCTGCACCTCGGCGGCGATTTTCAGCTGATATCACACCGTGGCACAAAGAGGATCGGCAAGGAAAAGCTCTCCAGCTGAATTCAGAGGCTTCTAATTAAAAAGCTTAATAGGAAGCAAATAAAATGAAATAGAGAATTCAAAGGGTGTTAAAGAAAGCCCGGGGTGAAATTTGAAATAGCTGGCCTTTCCCCCTGCTTTTGTAGGGAAAAAAGCTTTTATGTGTGTCCCTGTTTGAAACCCCTGTTTGATTGCAGAGCTGTGGATTTTCCATTGGGCATCTCCTTACCGGGGCTGAAGATACCAACCTGCTCGGTGGAAGGGGATGAGCAGATCTTCCCAGACACTTAGTCCTGAGGTATACAAGAAGGATTTTTGTTTTGTTTTGTTTGCTGTTGTTGTTGTTTGTTTGTTTTAAAACTTTTCTTAAAACAGTAGGCAAACAAGCATCTGCATTTCGTCCAGAATATTATCCATTTGTTTGAAGAATTTGGTACAGCTTAAAGTCCAAGTTTTCTTTGGATCAGGCCTTTAAGATTTGGTTTGATTTATTTCCAGTGACACTGAAATGCAGCTTCCTTTTTCTTTTTTTTTCCATCTATGCCGACCTGCTAAGTTAAAATAAACTGTAGGTTTTGATGTATTTCTTTATTTATTTTAGTTACCGCAGAGGCAAGAATGCAGAGTGAGAAACTTGGATGAAATTTAGAGAGCAGCCGGATTAACTAGGACAGGTGCCAGGCGGCTCGGGTGCCCTTGTAGCTTGGGATGTTTGAGTTGTGTTTTTAGGCTAGTTTTTCATGTTCATCTCAGAGTCCTGAGCAAAGTAAGTTTTGTTACGGCCCCTTCTCCGTCCGCACTGCTCGGGCAGGTTTGGCAAGGCCGTGGTGGTGGTGAAATGAGCTGCTGGCACTGCAGTGAACCTAACGCGCTCCTAAGAAAACAGACGGAGAGAGTGATGGCCTCGCTGAGCATGGGTATGGTTTTTCTATCAAGCAAGTTGCTAAAACGGGCAGGACCAATGTTTTATAGCATTGCAAAAATCTCATCCGTTCTCAATATTGCTCATTTCTTGCAGGGGCATTTAGGCATTTCTAAGCCTCAAAGAGCAGGGTTCCCATGTGGTGCACAGAGACAAGGCAGCCTGGATGCTGCAATTTAAGGAACTTTGCCCAAATTCATGCACAGAATTCGGTTCCTATGCTGGGAATGTCGCCCATCCCACACTCCCAGCCTTTGCAGCAAAGGCGAACAATCATGAGCCTATACATCGCAGCGAACAAAAAGACCCATTTTGTCCCCCAGCTGCCTTTCTGGGCAAATAAATAAGACCCCCCCCCAACAATTGCATGCTCCTGAGCTGTGGTGTCCTGGCAGCAAGCGGGGCAGATCCTTCATCTCAGGGGGTGCACGATCAGGGGTGCACGACCCTCCTGACCGTGGGTCCCCAGGGGATGCTTGTAAGCAGCATGCAGGCAGGTTTGGGGGCACGCTGGCTTGGTGGGCATCCTTGCACCCTACAAGTTACCTGGGTTCTGGTGGCTGCAGCATGCTGCGCGTGCAGGCTGGGGGTGTGCACATGCGGCAGGGCTGGGTTTGATGGTAGCATCAGGACAGCCCAGCGTAGACGTACGTGGATGGACCAGAAAGCTCCCATGGCAGGCGTTAATTGCTGTGCAGTGAATTACCGCGAGTGTTGCCTTTAACCTAAACACCAAGGTTTGCTGGTTTTGGCAGCTGGAGGTGGAATTAGTTGGGAGCTGCAAGTGGCGGCCGGCGTTGCTGCAGAGATCGTAGGATCTCTGTGCTGCTCGTGACTTGAAGTGTCCAGGTTTGGCTCCGGGCTAGTGCTTCTCCTCTTCGTTTCCTGCTGCAGCCCACATATTGCAATGCAAAGCATGCAGCAAGCTCAGAGGATGGGTGAGGTGGGATAACATAAACCATTTTTGTTATAAATAATGAAATTTTTGATGTTTGTGAGCCAGCCTGTGGTTTCCCCTCCTCTGGTTCTGGAGCAGGCAGGGGGCCTCTGATACGAGTTCTTTGAACTAAATTTGAATAATGCTGCGCCAGTGTGAGGGGCGGAGGCGATTTTGGTGGGGGTGTGGGGGTGGGATACGCTATGTATATCAATATTTTGCCCTCATTTAGCCTCTTTAATCTATGGATAAAAAATATTTTGCATGCTAATGACTTCACACAGCAGCTAGGAAAGGAGCAGGAAACAAGGCTTTGTGAACAACTGTACGCAGAAATGTTGCATAATGTGGAATGAATGGGGGGTGATGTAATTCACCCAGGCTAGGGATTACAGCAATTTTGCGCATATGCAAAAGGGACCTAAAAAGTTAATTGACTTGCTCAAAACCTCAAAATGCAGAGGGGAGTTTGGGGATGTAGCCCCTGAACTTTGTGCTTAAATTTCTGAAACAGATACGTTTGGATGTTCACCAAGCTGAAGTATCCATGGACACCTGTTAGTTACATTCCAAATTTAGCCTAGTATAAAGGAGTTAATGCAGATAAAGAAAGGAAATAAATCCAATATAGATTATATGTTGTTTTTTTCTTTTTTTCTTGTTTTTCTCGGAAGAGTTCATATATTCAGGGAAGGTCCCTTTACAAACAAAAATCATTAAAAAGGTAACTCAGGTTGCAAGCTGTAGGAGAACTGCAAGCTGTAGAACTGGCTGTGGTTGCAGCCACTCTATTTCTAGCTATGCTTCATGTTATTCCTTTTTTTTTTGATGTATTTCACTGAGCTGAAGGCTGAGCTGTCTGTAGTAAGGACCTGTGGGTATAGGGCATTTCTCATCTACCTGACATACTTCTCAAATATCCCATTATGCCCTATTTTAGGGTCAACAGAGCTGGGTGGGGAAGGCTTTCTGAGTTGGGGCAGGGTGGGGTTCAATCTGTCACACACTTCTCATGGATCAGTAGCTCTTTCAATGTGAGATTTACCCAAAGTCCTTCCCTACATGTACAGGGTGCCCTATACAGCCTGCTGTGGACATCCCTGCAGGAGCAGGAATTGGGGTTTGTGGAGGCAAGACTGGCTGTGCTCCGTGTTATCACCTGGCTTTCCCCTGAGACCTGGCCTGAGCCCTGCAGCTGGGAGAGGCAGGAACTGCTGCTCTAAGCTCATTGTCATCTTTTGGAGTTTTTGGTGATTCTTCTTTCCTAATTTTAAACTTTGCCATCATGACTGGCTGTTCACGTATGTCCAAGCAGACGCGGTCCATGGAGATACAGACTTGGTTAAATCAGCCAGGGTTCCCTCCACCCCATCTCTCTTTTCTTTAGGACAGCAGAGACCAGGTCTTTTGCAGCTAAGGTGGAGCATGTTAGCAATGGGATATTGCAGATAATTCCTTATGGAAATAGTTTTTTAAGATTTTTTTTTTTCCATGTGGAAATTGCCAAAACCTTTTCCTGGAGGAGCAGGTCCCTGCCAGGAGGTGGGCTCACCTCCCTTCACCGCTTCCCAAGGGTGTCTGTGCAGTACCTCAGAGGGTCTTCTGCATCTGCAGAATACGAGATGAAAACAGTTTTAGGGGGCAGCACAGGACTCATGTGGGTCATATCAATTTTGATTATTAGTGTTGGATTACACCTGTGACACTTTGTTGGGAAAATAGGTCTTGATAAGGAATTTGCAGAAGAAGTGGGGATTGCCTGATAGCCTTTAAGTTACTGTAAAAAATCATATTTAATTGTTCATTCTGTGCATGAAAGTGATGTTTTTACATGTGAACGTTTCTTATTATCAGCTTTCTGATGAGAATTATTTGAATTATCACAAAAGATAGGACAGGACTGAATCTGTAATTTGCCCTGGCTGTATTTTACTCAGGTATTTGGACAGAGAAGGTGTTGCTACAGCTTAAGGAAGAAATAATCTTTCTATATACTCTTTCTGCAGGCAACTAATTGATTTTTTTCAGTGTAATTCTTGATGAAACTTGGTATGGTGACAAACACGGTTTGGATCTGTCTCAGAAACACAAACATTTTATAGACACAGGGATTATTTGTACAAGTCCTTTCTAAGATAATTAATTTATTCTTCCCTCCCAAGACCTATTCACAAAGGTTGTTGATGGCTACAAAATGGTTTGGCTTTGCTTTAAGGACAGACTTGAGAACAGGGTTTGCTCAAACCCCCACAGGGCTATGGCTTCCCTGGGAAGCATTTGATGAGAGATGAAATCAGAGGAATGGTGGTCACTGGCTCGCTTGTTCTGAACCTGTTTGGGGAACCCAGACATGACAGGTTTGGGGAAAGACTGGGATCCTCTGACAAGGGAATATGTTTCCCAGAGATTTTCCTAGAGGATCATATATACGTATTATATACACATATTACATATGTAGGCTTGAAGCTGGTCTCTGAGTTACAGCCTTACTGTAACATCTTTGACTTCTTGGAAGAAATCAGCTGGTTTTTAAGACTGGAAAATCCTTTAACATGCTGAATGTTTGCCTTTTTCTCATCTGCTCTCCCGATTCCTCCCTCGGTCTCTGATGCATGTGCTGCTCCTGCTATTTATCTGCAGCACAGCGGTGCCCTGGAGCCTCAGCCCCAGACCTGCCAAGCCTCCCGCGGTGTTTGGGAGACTGAGTTTATTTTTTTGCCCGTCTCTCGCTCCCGGTGTGGCCCTGGCAGCCGCAGCGGCTCTGGGAGCCCATATGCCAGGCTCAGCTGCTCGGCAGATCCATGGTCCTCCCTGTCCTCTGCACAGGCTGGAGGGAGCAGCCACCCATGGCCCTCAGCCCAGTGCATCATGTGCTTCCTGCTGGCTTTGAAAGGCTTTTAAAATTTTTACATTAAAAAGTCCCTTTGATAACATACCAAGGGCGCTGAGCGATCGCCCAGCGTGGGGCTGCAGGAGGAGGTTTGTGTTCCTGGTTTGCACGTTGACATCAGTCACCTGTGAAGCCAGACATGTCCTAGATGGGTCTTTTAGAGAGAGATTCAACATCTAACTCACTCAGCAGGTACTTTGAGAATCCCTTTCCATCCTTTTCCTATATAAATCAATCAAAAATTTACTCTTTATTCTACTCTTTATTACTACCCTACTCTTGCTTTTATCAGAGCAAGACCAGGGGCTAAGCCAGTGAGGCATTGTGCTGGAGCCTGGGGTGTTTGTATACTAATTGATTAATATTTAATCTAAACTTCAGGAAAACTTCCTTACTGTGCAGGTGGCACAGCACTGGCTGCCCAGAGAGGCTGTGGGGTTTCCCTGCTTGGAGATCTCCAGAAGCCGATGTGGTCCCACACAGCCTGCTCGGGGCGGCCCCGTTTGAGCGGGGCTTGGAGCAGACGGCCCCAGGGGTCCCCGCTGCCCG